ACATTCTCACCAACCGAAGGTGGAGCTTGCTTGATGTCTCAGTAGTTCCATCCTTCTGCAGTGGCTCCGATCACCGCCTCCTTCGAGAGAAGATACGATTCAGTTGCAGGCTGGAAAAGAAAGTCTGTCACAGTACCGCAGGAAGGAAGAATGTCGTTTATGACGATAAAGGCTGGAAGAGCTCATCTCAAGTTGTGACTGACCCATCGAGGAGGACGTACGACTACGACCGATTTCTGAAAGGATTGCGAGCCTGCGGAGAGTGCGCCTCAGTGACTTTTGAGAAGAACTTGGAACGTATTTCGAAGACCACCAAGGAATTGCTTGAAAGAAGAAGATTTTTGAGGCAGGATCCGAAGGCAACCCATCTCGAGCGACAGCCAATGTCAGTTGCAGAACAGCTTTGCGAGGATAGGAGAATCTCAGGAAGTACAGGCAAGCCAAGATACTGGAAGCAGCCGAAGGAAGACGAAGTCTCAAGGTACCGCTGCACTATCGAACGAAGACGGGACTCCGACTTCTTCCCGATACAAGATGGAATCTATCGCGAAGAACTTTTACACCAACCTCTTCCGCTCATCAATACCCGTGCAGATGCCCGTTGTTCCCACTGGAGAAGTACCACCAAGGATTTTGCCTGCTGAAGTGCGTATCGCGATACAGACACTAAAGACGTCCACGGCTCCAGGACCAGATCATCTTTCCGTCGAACTTCTGCGAGCCGGAGAACATCGTCTACACGAGGTTCTTGCGTCGCATTTGACGTCTTATCTTCAGAAGGAGAAGATTCTCGACCAGTGGAGAAAGTCAAGAACTGTCCTTCTCTTCAAGAAGGGCGCACGGGAGGATCTTCGAAACTACCGTCCAATATGCCTGCTGAGTGTGTTCTACAAACTTTTCACGAAGATTATCCTCGCTCGCATATCTAGGACACTGGATGAAGCCCAACCCCAAGAACAAGCTGGATCCCGCAAGGGATTCAGCTGCATGGACCACATCCAGACGGTTTCGAGAGTCATAAAAGTCTGCCGGGAGTACCGACTGCCTCTCGTCCTAACCGTTGTCGAAAAAGCATTTGACAGCGTCGAAACCACGCCATTCTGTCTGCGCTAGTCGATCAAGGAGTGGACCCAGCCTACGTGAGGACACTAGCCAACTGCTACAGGGACTGTACAACAACGATGCAGCTATCCCATCGCTCCCTGACCATTCCAATCGCGAAGAGGGTTCGACAAGGTGATACTATTTCGCCAAAGCTGTTCACCGCGGCCTTGCAGTGGGTGATGAAGTCACTGGACTGGGACGAAAGAGGCATACGAGTTGATGGGAGATTCCTGTCCAATCTTCGTTTTGCGGACGACATCGTTCTTTTCTCGAGCGGTATCACCAAAGCAGGGACGATGCTGAAGGAACTAAACGAAGTAGGGAAGAAGATCGATTGCGAATAAATCGGAAGAAGACTCAGTTCATGAAGAACGCCCTTTGCGAAGATGCAGAAATGGAGCTGGAAGGCACCTCTATTATGGAGACGTCTTCTTACGTGTGTCTGGGACGTTCGATAACATTGAGAACGACTTGAGGGAAGAACTTAACAGGTGAAGAAGAGCAGCCTGGGCCGCCTTCGGGCCTTTGAAGGAAGCCACCAACTAATTGACGGACCCGGAGCTTCGTGCCCACATGTTCGACTCAACCGTTCTCCTGGCGCTCTGTTACGCAGCTGAGACTTGGGCTGACACAATAGCCACGTCGAAAGCCTTGTGGACCACCCACAGAGCGCTGGAGCGTAGTCTTCTGAAGATAACCCGACACAAACAACATTTAGTCGGACATCGCAGTACGGATATGAGAAGAATGTCCCGTCTTCGTGACCCAGCGGAATACGTTGCGAAAGCGAAACACCGATGGGCCGGTCACATCATGAGAAGAACAGACGACAGATGGACACTACGAACATCTGAGTGGATTCCTCGCGGAGCCAAACGTCCTCGAGGAAGACCACCAACGAGATGGCCAGACGTCTTCGTGGAACGGAGGGGCCAGCTGAGAAATTAGCTGGATACGATGATCACCAACTGGAACTCGTGGACGCAGCCACCGAAGGCAACCAAGAAGATCGTGGATGTCTGAAGCGAGGGACAGGGACAAATGACAACTTTTGTGCTGGGGCCCGCACGCCACGTGAAGACGGGCCATCTAAGTATCTAAGCAAGTAAGTTTGAGTAAGTGTTCTTAGAAGCACAACCACTGAAAGCGAAAATGGAGCAAACGAGATTTCGGCTGGCTACCAATTCCATAGTTTTCTTTTTAATGAAATTCCCAATATGGTAAAAGAACAAGTAGTTCTCTGGGTGCTTTTCCATTATGCGAACTCTTAAAGTTCTTTTATAGAACTAAGAAGGCTGTCCACCTGTCGCGGTCGTCCGAAGAAAATACAATTGAGTTTCCGGATCATTTCTGATGATGAACGAGAATATTCGAGATGACGCAAAAGCTTTTCAAATTATATTTATGACAATGTTCATCCAAAACAATTTCCAGAATACTTAGTTGTTTAGTAGTGATTTGAATATATTTTCGACTTCAAAAAATACTTCTCGCCAGCGAATTTGGCCAGAATAGAATCTAGTTGATAGCATTAAGTAAAGCGGTGCCAATGTTTCGCCGTGCCCTCCACACAAACGCTGTATCGTGTGTGAACGAACTCCTGTGTCCGGAACGACGAAGTTGTAACTGTGGCCCTAAGATGTTCGAACCGTGCTTCTTTGAGGCCTTCTGTATTGTGGCTGTGCCAGCAATCTAAGAATATGATGGAACCTTCTTTAATATTAGGTCGTTCCGAAAGTTCTTTCCGTTTTTTCAACCTATCATAAAAACACGTGGAATGAGGGTAGAGTAACGCTTCAAGTGCTATCCGATGCATTTTTTCTTCCTCTTTTCAACAATCATATTTCCGTGTCGCTTGCTCTTGTGGTCAGTGAGATAATGGCCGAAATTTCAAACCCATGGTTTTTACCATGTCCAACTTTGGCAATTTTTCACAATTTTCTTTTCTGACTTTTGGAGAAGCTTCAATAGCATTCGGATAGAGTAAACAAAGTGCAATTTAATCGAATTTTTTGGCATTTTCAACTAGCTTCTCAGTATTTTTTGAGACACCTTTTCCAGAAGTCTTCACTTTTTCGCAGTCACAAAACACACAAACGCTCCGAACATTAGCAAATCTTCGGATTTTGACACTAACAAAAGTCGTTTATGATTGTCCACTATTTTTACAAAGTAACTGAGTGTTTACCGCTTTGTAATATAAGATTTCGCATTTTACGTGCACACCCTCAGGCGGGTTCCAAATCAAGAGTTATGGAGATTTTATTGCCAAAAACCTCTACAAAAATACTCAATAGAAAGAGGAGGAGAAGCTGCATCGAATGACACCTTAGTTGTGCGTCGTTTTATGTTCTATGGTTCTTGGCATCACCAAAAGTGGAATTTGATAGCATCAGAAAAATAATTCTAAAAAAAATTTTGGGGTTAGCAATAGACTCCAAAAAATTCCATTAAATTGCACTTTGTTTACTCTATCCGAATGCTATTGAAGCTTCTCCAAAAGTCAGAAAAGAAAAGTGTGAAAAATTGCCAAAGTTGGACATGATAAAAACCATGGGTTCGAAATTTCGGCCATTATCTCACTGACTACAAGAGCAAGCGACACAGGAATATGACTGTTGAAAAGAGGAAGAAAAAATGCATCGGATAGCATTTGAAGCGTTTCTCCAACTTCATTTCACGTGTTTTTATGATAGGTTGAAAAAACGGAAAGAACTTTTGGAACGACCTAATATTTTTCGCTGTTGACTTTAGCAGCTTTGAAGCACAACCGTTCAGTACCTTGACCAAAAATACCCTTCTGTATCGCGGCGGCAGGTACCTTCAAGAACCCATTGCTGTGGAAGAATGCGATTGGCATGATTTGTGTGTAAAGCTTTCATCAATTTCTGAACTGGCTGCTCAGCGATTGAATCTCGCTTGTAGTTGTTTCAATAAACGGACGCATCCTGGTTGGTTCCACAACATAAATGAGCCGAATTGCTGTAGCGGAGGAAATACAAGAGTCAATTAGTCGAGTCCCGTTACTAATGTTGGTCTTTTGTCGGCAAGTGGTTTTGCACTTCCAAAATATGCTGTATGCGAAGTAACACTTCATCTTGTAACCGATTCCACAAAAATTGCGTCTGGAGGGTACATCCCTTTTTGCAAACTGACGTCGCTCTCCTCTGTTTGGGCAAACTAAATATGTTCATCTAAAAAGTTCAACATTTCTCTTTGCAACTGAGACAGTGCTCGAGCTCTTTCAAAACGAGATGATCAATCACCGTTTTCTTTATAGAAAGGTTGTCGTTTTTCACTTACATGATTCAGAATGAAATATTCACGTCAAACTCAGCAACTAATCAAATCTCTTCCACAGACAGGACAGGCAGAGGATCATAGACTCTTGTAGATGCGATTACGCTTGCCAAATTGATCATCTATTCTCGTAGCACATTGCGTTCCAAAAATTTTTTTTGCTTCAAAGCGCCCATAAGCAGCATCATTTTCGTCTACTCCCAATTTTACATGGATAGTGAGATCTAACGTTCAGTGTATGTCTCAGGCACTTTCAACTGAAGCATTTTTTATTTTATGATATTGAGAAAGGTCTGGAGATTTTGAAATTTACAACAAACGCAAATCTTTATGCAAATGTATTGAGCACCATATGATTAGATTGCCTAGAAAATTTGCAAATCTTTACATTTTGAGGAAACAACTATTACCCGTATACTTGAAATCAAAGAAAAAGGCTGACCGGAAACAGTCACACAAAAAGAAAGAGCGGCTGTTCCCTGCTATTTTTTTTTGCCTACACCATCAACATCTCAACAAAGCGCAGTTGCTATTGAGAACCACGATTCGATGTTTTACAAGATAGGTTGAGAAAAACTACTTTGCAATAAGTAAGAGCTTGCAACGTTGACATGGAGATGGTGTGGAATGAGTCAGCATCAGTATCACAATAAGCTGTGAAAAATTGAATCAGAAAGTTGATAAAAAGACATATTTAAAAGAGGAGCAGTGTTAAGGTGAGTAACACTATTGAAGAGAACCAAGTGAACACTGCAGTGGCATTGTTTCCATTACAGTAATCTGCATAACAAGTGCATACGTCGATAGTGGATTCGTCAACTTGATCGCCGCCTAGCTTGAAGAGCTCTTTTTTCCTGAAATCTTCTTATCTTGAAAGCAGTATAAAGCCAACAAAAATATTATTACCGGTATGGTCTACATGAATCCCTTTGCATCCATCGATACCATCCCACAATGGTTTCGTTAAAACCTTTGATAAGCACATCCTTCATACATCCACGAATGTGCCCACCGATTCTGACTCCTAAAACAAGCGCAATACGATTTTATAAACTGCTTCAAAAATCTGAAGAACACTCATGAAAGGTGGCTACTCAGCTCGCCTTTCTTATTTCTTCCCAAAAACTTTAGACCGAAATCATAACTTTTGCCAGCAAAGTTTTACCCTTTACATACTGGAAGAATGACACATTAGGTTATTTTAATACTATCGAATTGTTTCTAAGTCATACTGAAAAACCTTATTAAGTTTGACGAAGAGATAATACCCTTTTGGGGCGAAAACGCAATAACACGATACGAAATTGAAAATAAAGAAACCTGCAATATTTGGTTCTTCATACATGGAAACACATATTGTATCGCAGTGGACAAGCGGCACATTTCCTTGAGTAAGTCTGTCATCGTTGCAGTCATCTGGAATAATCAGTTATTTTTCAACACTTCATTACAGAAAAGTTGGTATTTTGGGAAGAAAACTGAATTGTTAATGACTAAAACTGGAAAAACATAATTGTTTTACTAATAGCTGCTGTGTTTCGAGGCTAACAAGGGAACGATACTTGGTGTCCGTGGCCTTTTCGGATGAGATGTATACCATCACATTCGCTTTGGAACGCTGATTTTGAATCTGACTTCCGTTTCTGCTAATCGTTTCTCTAGCAGAAGTTATGAACGATTTTCGCGTCAATGACCGCCCAAGAGAAATACGGTCGAGTATGTCTAACTTTCAGGAAGAAGCTTGATCAAGCAATGCAAAACTGAAAAACACAAAAAGGCTCGAACCTAAACTTACATTAACATGCGAGCCTATCGCTCTAGACACTACACCACATCTTAGCTGCGGTTATGGCATTCCGACCGCATTTCCTGGCGCGAAAATCTTTTATAACTTCTTTCAGAGAAACGATTAACAGAAACGGAAATCGGATTCGGAATTAGCGCTCCAAGACGAGTATAATGGTATATATACCATCTCAAGAGGCCACGGACACCAAGTATCGTTTCCTTGTAAGCCCCGTAGTAAAACTTTCGCTTAGTTCAGGTCGTTTAAGGCAGGATTTAAGGTAAACCTACGGTGCCTCAGTTCATTATCGACCAAGATACTGATCTGGATTTGGATCGTTAGTAGAGTCGCGCTTTTTTAAGGATGTTTGCTGTTTGTGCAGAGGCTTGGTCAAGTAGGTAAAAGTGCTGCTCCACTCGGTACAACTATCTTTCGAAAGCCTAGTTACACCATTTTTGCTACATCGCCAGGCAATTCGCAATAGAAGAGAAATACAAAAGTAATAAAATCTCGACGGCCCAACATAAATACTACAAAAATTGCAAGTGTTTGAAAATAGATAAGATGGAGCGTCTTGCACAAAAAATGTGGCATAATCTGCAAAAAAGGTACTAAAATCATTTTTTTCATGGCTTCCATCAGCTGTACATCGATCCTTTCACAGCATAGGCCCCAAAATTGTGCAGAGTCGCTCACTGGTGTTCAATATTAAGTCACATTATTGTCCCGTAAGTTATTAACGCGCAATGCGCAGCACTTTTCTTTGTTTTTCATCGTTTGCACAATATTTCCATAAAATCAACTCAAAGCGTTGCATCAGTTCACCTGAACTGACTAAGCTTTACCAGGGGCCCATTATTTGAAGGACGTTCTTCTCTCCCTGTGGACTTTATTTACTAGCTAGAAATGTCCAGAAAATTACCAGTTTTCGAATCACAAAAACTATTCACTGAAAGTTTGTTTGGTTGGGGAATTTGTGCGAAAGTGATTTTTTCACACAAGGAAATGGCAGGAGATGTTAGGCGCATGAAGCAAATTCGGATATGGGGTGCCAATGTCCGGTCACCGGTAATTGTATAAGACCTTTTGAAGAAATTACATAAGAGAAAATGGGACCAGGTACCTGTAAAATTCTTGGGCTTCTTGTAGATATGTGCAAGCGAAGGCCAAACGGCTTCATATAATCGTGACATACACGAGTAGCATCGAGCACCGTCTAAAATGTAGAAATACATTGATTACTTGATTTGCGTGTATAAAAAAATAAGAATTCCAAAATTATTTAGCACCATCAGAGATGCCTTTCCATTATTTCTACCGTGACTTGGTTCTTGAGGAAAAAGTTATTGCCCAACCATTTTTATCGCTGTTTTACAATTTTAAGAAAAACTTGAAGAAAATTAAGAATTACCCTTGTACTGCGTGATTGTTTCCAACATAGTCATATCGTTCATATACGCAGTAGTGATTCTTGTCAAAATAAGTAGAAAACCAATGAACATCGCATACTATGAGGGTTGCTAAGCCATTTGCTATTGCCAAACTGAATAAGCGAAAAATAAGAGAAAAATGAATTTGACAGATATCAGGGACGGAGCAAACAGCAAAAGATCTTCAGATAAGTGGAATGGTAAGCAGGTGAGTCGGGTTGAAGCAGGCCTAGAGAAGCGCAAAAATCAGCTGGAAAGAACTGGTCCCCAGCTGATAAATTAAAGAACAGATGTGTAGAAAGCGTAAAAACTGTCAAGATAATTAGTCAATGGTACTGCTTGGATGATATACGTTTTTTAGCGTAAGTTTTCGAGAATCCACAAATATCTCTCAACGATTAGGACTAATGTCAAGTGAAAAAGTCGTAATTAGCCGTCAGCCGTGAGGACACCACCGGCCCCACCCGCAGACATTTGCAAAAGAAGCTTCAACTCTAACTAAAGCCAGAAAGGAAAGATGAACTTCAATTGCACAGAATGCTTACATAACGAATGCTAATCTTAATGCTAGCGTGCGAAAATTGGATAAATCTGTTCCCATCCAGCAGCAGAAGCAACGTCTTTCTTAAGCTGATCCCTCATCAATATTCATTAATTCTTTGACTTTGACGTCAATTGCCACAAGGGGGGTCAGGTTAAACATCGGAAAAAGTTATAGTTGTCAAAGAGGAGAAGTCTTTTTGAGAATAAAATGAATTCAAGCTCAAAAATACCTATCGATTTAAGACGCATCACATGCCAATCACCACCAATCAGCAAATGTGTAATCAACCCTTGCAATTCATCATTTTCTCGAGACCCCTCTCGAATACACGCTAACAATCAACTTATCTCTGGTTATTTTTAAGATTAATAAGATAGCCCTTAGGCCATGGATTTGATAACACGGAGATACGAGTGACAGATAAAAAAGGTATAATTCGAAAACCACTTATCGTTATTCAGTTATCACGGATTGGTTTTAGTTATGAGTAGGTCAGTGAAATCAATTACCAAATCTGATTTATTGGACCTTTTAGAATTCTGGGACCATTTCATGGAAAAAATCTAATTGTTTTTCTTTAAAAGCTTCTATTCACGATTTTGAAGGGAAATTATTCCAAGTTCAATAGGATTGAGCATTTGAGCTGCAAAAACTACTATTTGGTCCGTAATTCTCGCACCAATATTCTCAGAATTCTACAATTTAATCCTTCATTTGAGGAGGAGAAAATTCATGCGCCTTTTAATATGAGAAAAAAAAAGAATTAGTATTGGCATACCCGACGATACAAGCTTTTAAAGGAAAACAATCAGGCCATCATTAGTGAGCTGGCCCCAAAATTCCTTGTGTTCCAGCAAAATCAGATTTTAGATTTGATTTGGTGATTATCTTACTTCTGATCAAGAACAGTCTACGGATTAAACGTCTTTACAATTAGTTGTAATTTTTGCACGCATGAATTTTTTCAAAAAACTGTATGCAAAGACACAGAAGCGAGAAATAATGAAGTCGAATAATGCGCATATCACTTTTCTTGCAAAACTTATGGAATAACCCGGAACTCCACGTACGCACAGATAAAATTTTTCCCACACTCTACTCCTCGATAAATTTTGTAGTTTGAAAGTTGAGAAAAAAAGAATTGATGGAGAAGCCAATGCTTTTTACTGTTTTATTTGGAAGATTTCATTAGAATTAGGAGCCAGAAACATAAGAGGTTTCTACACAACTGATATACGTCTAACTACTATCAGATATTTTCTAGTAAAAAATAGTGTCCAATCAAAATTGACTAAAAATGTCTATAAACTGAACGGCAGAGAGACTTAGCGGATTAGCAGAAGACTGATCTCGTGGATTATTCATGTCAGTCAACACGGTGATGAATGATATTAGGTTTTTTAGCGATACTTTTGTAAAGTGAGAAAAAATGTTTCATATTTGGTCAGATTGTTGGAGAATTTGAAGGATTTGTGAATAATTTGATATTTTGTCAGACTTCTAGCAATTATTTTGCATTTTTCAAGGAAAACAGATGTGCTAAGAGACATCAAGATTGAGAATTAAAAAAATCTCTAGTCAATATTGGACATATTTTCACGGTCCTTTGTTTGGTAATTTAAAATACGGTGGTAAAAGACACGAGACTGAAAGAGACGGAATTGAAATTTGCAAGCAGAACTATGAAGATAACCTTGCAAAAAGCCGTTGATGTCATTTATGGCAGAAAATCCGATGCCAAAAGAGCGACCGCGTATGTGCGCGTAACAATTATTTGGTCCCTCATCACCCACAAAAAAATTAGAACCCGAGCAGAAAACGACAGAATCTCTCTCGTAATGTGTTTTTAAGCACGGGCTCGTCAAGCGGCGCCAGCGGCGGCACGGTGTGATGGCACCATTATCCCCTCTATCTCGGCTACCGCATCTAAGACAAAGCGCCACAATTTGCTTATTGTCGGATGGACACCTGACGCTTTCTCTGTGGCCGAAAATTGACGCAAAAGTGGCTGCAACAAAATCGGAGCCAGCCCTAGGTGTTGTTTGTACGCATGAGATAATCTGGAGATTTTTCCAAGAATAAATAAGGCTACGATGTGATCTACTAATAGCTTAAAATCCATGGAGAAAATCCTCAGTGGACGGGCAAAACAGCTTGCGCGTCGCGGCCAGTACGGGCGGAAAAAACCGCTGAAGAGCTGATGGATATGCGCGGGGTCGTGTAACTGGACGATTGATGGTTAACCCGGCCATGGGGAAAAACTCAGAGACAAAGAAGATAAAACTAATTTCCAGCTGGCAACTATAGAAATCGATTTGGGATTTTCTGAAGTAATTTGTTTTATTTTATTATTCGACATTTTATTTTTTCCGATCTTTTCGGTTTCTCCTTCTTCGTTTGATGCTGACGATCTTCCTTCACTAAGGAGGGATTACCGGGGAAGGTCGGTTGTTATCCCCTTTTCCGTCTAGTGAAAGAAATGAAACGGAAAATGGAGAAATCGTTCAGAATTTTCTTTTCTTCTCTTTTGGAATAGAAGTAACGTAAACGGCAACTGCCCAAAATTCTATAAAAATTGATCAAGGAACCTCTACAATAGAATTTTTTCTTCAGAAATAAAGATTTAATTGCACTTAATTAATCCAAAGAATTGAATGTACGACTTCTCTGTAAAACCTTGGCAATTTCGGCGCTGCTTTTTTTGAATTTCATTTTGACCTTAATTAAATAGAAACTAACGCTACGCACAAATAAATAGATTGCTCAAAAATCTAAGCCCTAATAAAATCAAGATATTGAAAAATCGGCTTTTACATAACGGAAAGGTGTGAATCATAAAATATGGCTGAGACTTTCCAAAAAGCCGAAAAGTAGAAAAGTAAAAGTAGTAAAAAGTAAAAACAGTAAAAAAAACCTATGAATTTTCTGGAGCAAGCATTTTTACTATAAAAATGAACCCTTGCTGAACCGTAAAATATGGACGATATGTTTCAAAAATCCAAAAAATAAGAAAAGTTATGAAATTATTCAGAGTAAACGTTCATTTTTACTCAACAAACAAGAACTTCAATGACGAACTCTTGTCATGAACAAAATACAGCTTTCGAAGAAAAATTACACTACTGTGTGGGACAATTGCAGTTTTTCTTGGGGGAGGGGGGGGGAGGGAAAGAAAGATCCAGATTTTGTAAGATTTCTATGATTTTTACAGGCTTCTGCTACTTGCCTCAATATCATACATGACAAATAGAATGAGCAAGGTGCAAACATGGATATAGTAACTAAATTAGACAGAGCATAATATAAGCCATTTGCCCTCCCCCCCCCCCCTCTCCTCTCTCCCTCCGCTCCTCTATTCCAGATCAACTCAAAATTTGCTTGGACATCAACTTTCGACGAGAGAGAGTGTAGCAAGGAATGACTAAGACTGAAATTGCTACGGCTAATAATGGACTCGTAGGTTGAATAATTTATGGCAAAATAGATTTAAGCCATAAAAAGTGCATGATATGAAAAACAAAACAATAAAATTTGCTGATTGCTAAGAGAGCGATCAGATTATACAACCAGAGCCTCTTCTTAGGCATTACTAAATGATTACCAAAGACTATGAGCGGAGACCTTAATTTTAATAAAATCACAACTCCTCCGACACATAAAAATCAGCTTAGAAAGATTCCCTAGAGCGAAACACTGATGTAATTCAGAATTCAGTTAGCCCAAGGGGCGCGCATACGCATCGCTCGTCATGTTCGGTGGAAAAACACCGGAATGTGGTGCAATTGCTGCGTCATATCGGCTTCATTCAGTGCTGTGTGGTATGGCTTTTAACCAGCAATCTTTCTTCTATAGGGGGAGAGTAGGGGGAGGAGCACTTGAATGTTTTTGTATTACGCTTTTTTTCTTCTTTGACTTGTTTTCTGCAATGATTCTTGGCAATAAAGAGCTGGGCATACTTCACGCGATTTGGCAATTCGCTAGAAGTCTTAAGATTCAAGACTAACAAACTGCGCATGAACAATGTATATCTTTCTTGAATTGATGGAATGCCCTATAATCTGTTCATTTAAAATGTGCTTACAATGAGTTATGGACAGTTGGAATATCCCCAAATCGCTTCGCGACCGAAATCGCGTGAAGTATGCCTGGCCCTGGATTCTTATAGCTTTGAAGATGTGTTTATCCACCGTGCACCTACTGTGATCGATTAAGTACGTGTAAAATGAAATCTTCTCAATCTCA